GATGCGCCGGCGGGAACAGGAAAGACTTTTTGCAAAGAAACAATTTTGGCGGGGATCAGGTCTTGTAATGGTATTGGACTCGCTGTAGCGTCCAGTGGGATAGCGGCGACTCTTTTGACCGGTGGTCGAAAATTTCACTCGCGATTTCGAGCACCTTTGAAACCAAATAACACGCGTCCCTTCAATATTCCAAAACAGAGTGGTCTTGCCGAACTTATCCGCCGTGCCGACTTTATCGTTTAGGATGAAGCTCCAATGAGTAAGAAGTTCCACTTGGAAGCTCTTGACAATACACCTCGAGATCTCTGTAACAGTAACCTCCCGTTTAGAGGAAAGGTTTTGCTTCTTTCTGGGGACTTTCGACAGGTTTTGCCCATTGTGAAACATGGGTCTCCAGCACAACAAATTGATGTCTCTATCAAAATCTCTCCTTTGTGGAAATTTTTTTAGGTTCATTTCCTGACTGAGAATATGCGGATCTTAAGTTTAGGGGATGATGCAATGGCACGAATGTATGACGTGTTTTTTATGCGTATTGGGAATGGTGATCATATTCGTTTTGTTCCTAACGAACCTCCTACGGTCAAACTGCCGCATAAAATTTACACTGATAAACTTATTCGTGATTTGATTTTCTGGACATTTGAGGATGTTTGTGAACACGTTGGGGATGCTGACTATTTTTACACTCGATTGATTCTTCGCGCTACTAATGACGGTGCGGGGTGTGTTAACGACATGGTTCTCAACGATTTCCCTGATGAGGCGCGTGAAAGTTATAGTGTTGATTACCATGGTTCTGATGATCACGGACTTGACATCGAGCGCCAATTCTTAAATTATCTCGATGTGTATGGTCTTCCGCCTCACAAACTGCGCTTGAAAATGGGTGCGCATGTGATGTTGTTGCGCAATTTGTCGCCCAAACAAGGATTTTGTAATGGCACAAGGTTGATTCTTAAAAAGATTGTTGATGATGATTTGTTCGAAGTGACCATAATACGCACCGGTAAAACGACACTGATCCCCAAAATCGATTTGACAAGTGATAGTGAAACCACAGGGTTTAAATGGAATAGGAGGCAGTTCCCCATCCATCTTGCGTTCGCTGAGACCATAAACAAGCCGCAAGGACAAACTGTCTCTCGTGTCGGGGTTTGGTTGTGCAAACCTGTTTTTGCACATGGCCAATTGTATGTTGCTTTGCCTCGCGTTGGTCATCTCAACAACATTCGTTTCGCGTTGCCTGACAAAAATTTCATCACACAGAATATTATTTATCACGAACTTTTGTAATGACTTTTTCTCTTTTGTCGTATGTATCTCTTTCGATCGTCGATTCTAAGCGCTCCGCATACTTTTCCCCTTTTTTTTTTTTTTTTTTTTTTTTTTTCAAGCGGTTCTCAGTTGCGCCACAAGTATGACACTCGTGCTAATAGCACAATAGAAAAATTTCATAGAATTAAATAATCATTCTATATGAAAATTACATTCTAAATTTCAAATTTTCATTTCATCTTAAAAAATGTCATTTCAATTTTAAAATTTTCCTTCTTACCTGAAAACTTTCCTTCCAAGAATGGGGTATCCCTTCTTATTTGAACTGCATGCTAGAAATGGAATGAAAGTCTGGACGAGTTCATGAAATATTTTAATTAGATTGTCATTCTAAGTAAAAACTTTCAGTCATAAATAGGTTAATCCAATTTAATTTAGAAGATATTTGTTGCAGTAGAATGAAAGTTTAATTAAAACATTTCATAAACTCGTCCAGACTTTCATTCCATCTTGAACAAATAGAATTGGAAGGGAAAACTCATATTTCGACAGGAACTTATCAAATACAACTGAAAATTTTAGAATTGGACGAACATTGGAATGATAATTTATAAATATGAAGGATTTTTTTTTTTAGAATGTTTTTTCAACTTTCATTTCTCGTGGGAATTTTTCTGTTGCAAAAGGCTGAAAGTGACAGACACCAGCACTGCTACTGATGCTAATGACAATGTTACATCCAATAGTCGGGTGCAGTGTTCGGAACCCTCGAAAATAAGCCGAAACGATGAAATGTCTATCAACCTTCAAATTGGACCACGTGCCCGGGGTGCTGGTTTTGGACTTGAAGATGAGCACGTGTCTCATCAAGGGAACACGCTCGAGGATGCTGAAAATATGTTTGTGGAAGGGGAGCGTCATGACTCTCGTGCGAAAGGGGATAGTTGTCAGGGGGATCGATTGGGTGACACTGGTAAATATGTGTTAAGTGATGATAAAGAAGATACTTCCACTGATGGTTCTTGTGACCGTGTTGAATCTACATTCAAAAGAAAGATCAGTTGATGTGTGAAAAAAATTATTTTGGCTTCGCCGGACGCCCTTGAGCCCACCCTTCGTGATCATCGGATGACTAACAAAGTTGTTAGTCCTGAAACTGCGACTCAGGTTCTGAGAGCACTTCGCACGATCCCTACTGATGTGCTTTTTAGTGATCATCGTGACCCGTGTTTGAAGTCCCGACTTGGTGAAGGTGAAGGAATTGCTCGTGCCCCGTCCCAAAGACGAAATTGTGCGACAGTTGTTGAGGTGCCCGATGATAGTAATCCCCAACTGCCAGTTGCACGTGTTCCTCATCCGCGCGCTTACCTCTCTCAATGGTTTGATGATGCAAAGAAGGTTGGTTTGCGAAAGGTCTTGAATGAGATTTTTTTCGAAATGTTTCTGAAGACTGCGACGGTCGTGAAGGATGAATGGATATGGGGAAAATTCCTTGATTGGCAGAGAACTAAACTCACTAATATGCGCTTGGAACGACAATCCTCCCTGCCCTCCAATCCGTTGAATATTTCGGATGTGAAGTCCATCAGAATGTTCCAATCCCTTCTGCACGATGAGTACATTGCGCTCTCCAATGACGAGATTGTAAGAATGACATTTGATTTGCCCTATTATCCGACGGATGGAACTGTTCCGGAGCCCTTCTTCAGATATGCTCGGATACAAAGTCTCATCAAAAGAATTCCTGTCGGTGTTGCTTCTTCCGCTCCTCCTTCGGCTACTGTCCGTCCAGTGTCATCACCGGCACCGTCTCCTGCGAATTTTCAACGTCTTGCAGATTATGCTTCGCTGTCCAATGTGGGAACGTCCGTCGTCACTGCTTCTATAGTTGTTTCTGCTTCGCCTGCTGCTATGTTTACTCCATCTCCTGCTCCTTGCGTTGTCCCCGCTCCTGTCTCACCAGTTGCACAACTGCATGTCCGTATAGGAGTTTTGCCATAAGTGACTGCTTCTACTTTTGATATTGCCGTCTATGAGTCTCTTGCATCCGTTGGTCCCCAAAAAAGTGCATGCGCATCTCTCCTATCTTGATAGCTCTCACAGGCTGCAAGATATCGCGCAAGCGGCTGAGGAGTTGCATACGGATATGAACACATGGAGGTTTGTTGATGCTGCCATCCATCTTGACTACAATCCGCAGCGACAAAGTCGATTTCAAACTTTTGAGGACTATCGCCGGAAAGTGTTGCAACAGAGTTCTGTTCGTGACATGTTGCGAGAGTTTCGTTTCACTGATGGGAGTTGATTGCTCTTACATAAGATGGAGAGAGAGAGAGAGAGAGAGAGAGAGAGAGAGAGAGAGAGAGCAACAGAAAAATTCCCATGAGAAATGAAAGTTGAAAAAATATTCCATAAAAAAAAAATCCTTCATATTCATAAATTATCATTCCAATGTTTATCCAATTCTAAAATTTTCAATTTAATTTGATAAGTTCCCGTCTAAATATGAGTTTTCCCTTCCAATGACATCTATTTGTTCAAGATGGAATAAAAGTTTGGACGAGTTTATAAAATATTTTAATTAGACCTTCATTCTATTACAATAAATATCGTCTAATTTAGATTGGATTAACCTAATTATGACTGAAAATCCTTACTTAGAATGGGATTCCAATAAAAATATTACATGAACTCATCCAGACTTTCATTCCATCTCTAGCATGCAGTTCAAATAAGAAGGGATACCCCATTCTTGGAAGGAAAGTTTTCAAGTAAGAAGGAAATACATTTTTTAATATGGAATGAAAATTTAAAATTTAGAATGTAATTTTAATCTAGAATGATTATTTAATTCTGGAATTTTTTTCTTGAGAGAGAGAGAGAGAGAGAAAGAGAGAGAGAGAGAGAGAGAGAGAGAGAGAGAGAGAGAGAGAGAAGGAGAGAGAGAGAGAGAGAGAGAGAGAGACAGAGACAGAGGGACAAGAAAAGCAGATAGATAAAAAGATAAAGAGATAGATAGATAGATAAATAGATAGATAGAGAGAGAGAGAGAGAGAGAGAGAGAGAGCAAATAAATATTATTTTGTTTTCTTTTAATAAAATGAAGATGGATTGTACTTCGTGCTTATTGTGCCTTTATCATTTTGCACAATCTTCTTGACTCGAATGATGTTTTTCTTTCTTTGTTCTTTGCATTCTTTTTTTTTTTCTCCTCTGTGTCCATCTATCTGTGAATCTCTATCTCTCTCCCTCCTCTCTCCCTCTCTGTCTCTCTCTTTCTCTCTCCCTTTTTGTGTCTATCTATCTGTATTCCGTTTCTTGAATTTGTTAAACCAACAGTACCTCCCCCACTGTTGGGAAATTACGTGATACTGGCCAGTACCCGAACTTATCGGGGGTCGACAGAGCCTCAGCGTGGATTCCCAATAGTGGGTACGAACTCATATTATTCTTAATTTTTTTTATTTTTCTTTTTGTTTTTTTTTATTTCATGGTCGGACGTTTTTTTGGTCGTGGAACAACGTGGACAGCCGCGGCGATGTGGAAACGCTACCGGGTCCCTCCGGCACCGGTTGTTAGGTGGCAGTTGGTCGGTCGGTGTTGTGCGGTCGCCGGTGGATGGTCCCTGGTGGGCGACCGGGTTCGCGGGGGGAGGGGGGGGGTGGAGGGGGGACCAGCTCGCGTCGACCCGCGACCGACCCACGTGGGGTTCTCCGCGGGCCGCCATCGCCTCTCTCTCTCTGTCTGTCTCCCGGCATCGCCACTCTCTCTCTCTCTCTCTCTCTCTCTCTCTCTCTCTCTCTCTCTCTCTCTCTCTCTCTCTCTCTCTCTCTCTGGCGCGTGCGCGCGCGCGCACGTGCGTGGCCGCCGTCGTTGTCCCATCGACAGTACACGAGGAAGGCCGGCGCACTTGGTGATTGCGAGGTGAGTTCCCCCGCTCTCTTCTTCTTCCTCTTCTTCTTCTTCTTCTTCTTCTTCTTCTTCTTCGTCTTCTTCGTCTTCTTCTTCTTCTTCTTCTTCTTTCTTCTTCTTCTTCTTCTTCTTCTTCTTCTTCTTTCTTCTTCTTCTTCTTCTTCTTCTGACTTCGACTTCAGAGGACTTAGACTTTAGAGGACTTCTACTTCGACTTCAGAGGAGATAGATCATTGGTTGATTTATTGGTGACAATGTAGGATTTGACGACTTACGATATCGGATAACGTCAGGATTTAGGGATTAGTATCGGCGGTGTTCTGACCTGACACCGGTTACATCAGGGATTATGTGTGACGACACTGGTGACTAGCCCCAGATCCATGTCACCTCCGTGTTACCTCCGTGTCACCTCCCTCGTCTCTCCTACCCCCTTCGTCTGTGTATGGTTGCACGGATCTGAAGCGCCTTCCGTGTTTGGCTTCTGATCCATCGAAAAAAAAAGGAAAAAAAAAAAAGAATATGGATCAAACCTCGGGCCACGAGTTATGTTTTTGTTGAAAAAAAAAAAAACGACAAAAAGTTTCATAACAAATAAAGAATGAATGAAAGGAACAAAGCAAGAAACAAAGAAAATGTTTTTGTTGAAAAAAAAAAAAACGACAAAAAGTTTCATAACAAATAAAGAATGAATGAAAGGAA